TTATTGTTTCTTGGGTAATGTGTATGACTGTTGTACAATGAGTGTATTGAAAAATAGTGCTCATGTCTTACAGAAGCAGTTGGGCAATTTACTACTCCCACCAATTCTTCTATTTTTCTCAAAGTGCTAACTAAAATGCAAGATGAAATGCATTTTGATAGGCAGTTTTAGAAACTGCTTTTCCTGTTTAGCAGACATAGTAGGAATATAGAATTTATAGAACAAATATTAGATCCTCTAAATTGTGGAGGAATGTTTGAATTTTAATTGATTTCCAGTAACTTGATTCTTGATTTGGTCTCGAGGTCTTTCTCTGTAGCAGCAGAAATAGGGTGATTTTCCTGAGACTCCAAAGCTGTTTAGATGAAACTTTATCTCTGCTATTGGCTGACCTATGGCCAGAAAAAGACTTGCAGATAAGCACCCCTTTTTCTGTCTCTTTTTTATGCCTTTTCCACTGGCAAAGGAAATCTTTTAACCTTCTGCTTCTCTCTATTTGAGATCCTTGGGTAGCTGTTACCACTTCAAGATGAGTTGCAGAGCGAATCTTAAAGCATTTCTGTATTTATATAGCTGTTTTAAAATGCACATGCATATGCATATTTGTGTAGTCATGCTAGTATGATCAAGTTGTAATTTGTCCTATAACTTTCCTTTTGAAGACCTTTCAGTGTTTTAAGTATGGCTTAATGAATTCTTTTTAGAGACAACATGAGAAAAGTTACAACAAAGTTACATTTCAGGCCATCCTGGAACTATTATGACTTCTAAAAAATATGTAGTCTGTACGAAGACATTTGACATGTAGATCCAGAAGCGATTTATTCAATCTTCAGTCTGTAAAGAGTGTGCTGTGCTTTAGCAGCTGAGTGAAAATGTTATTCATTAACTTAGCAACCTTTTCTTTTTTAAATGATCTGTGTTACTATTAAGAAAAAATATTCTATTAGTGAACATGATAGGTAATCCATGCTGCTAGCCATTGAAAGGGGAGCAAAATCTCCCCTTTAATGTCCAGATAAATAAGCACATCTATTTTGTTTGTGCAGTTACCTAGTAGGATATTCAAGCACGTAGTTTTGTAATGAGAAGCGCTAATTTGTAGGCATTTTTCTGAATTTCTCTACTGCACCCTTTGAGAACCTCTGTCTGCATAGTGTTTATCTCCCATTTTCCAAAGCTGACCATGTCTTCAGTTTTTTTAATAAGCCACTGGATGGTTCTTCATTTTAAAAGTCCTGTCCCCAGCTCTGGACAAAGACTACAGGGCTGTGCATGTCTTCTGCAATTTTATCTTAACATCCTTGTTCTGTGCGCAGATTTTCAAACAAAACGCTTCATTGCACAGATGTTTTCTTTTTACAGGTGATGTATCACCCATCAGCATGTCTCCCATCAGTCAGTCACAGTTTATTCCTCTCGGGGAAATCCTTTGCCTGGCCATCTCAGCAATGAACTCTGCCCGAAAACAAGTCACACAAGAAGCACTAATGGAGCACCTAACAACCTGCTTCCCAGGTAACTGGACATTAATAAATTATTGGTCATATGGGCATGTGTCTGTAAAAGGACAGTTCATGTGTAGAGCACTCTCTCCTAAAGAAAAGGTTTCCTGCCTGCTGAATGTCTTCCTTTGCTTAGGACAGGCTCTCAAAACTAGTGTGGCCCGATGCAAGTAATAGAGTCTAACGATAGTGGTGTGCCTGCTTCAGGGAGAGGTTATATTTAAACTGAAAAGAGGTTGTCAGCCTCAGTTCCAGAGGTTTTCAGAGCCTTCTTGAACACAGTTCTGGCTTTTGCGTCTGTACTGCCCTTGCTTGAAAGTCTTTAAATACTTTGTTTGTTTATTTTGGATGGAGATTTTTTTAAGTGAAACTCCTTCCATGACTGAAAGTTTGGGAAGCTATAGACCACACTTGCTGTGGTCATAAATGCTAGTGTTCAGAAGATACTCTTGTCAGCATTTGATAATATTTATCAAATGGGGAAATGAAAATATCTTGGATTTAAGGATACTGTAACACCAGAAAAAGGAAATCTTGTGTTAAGAGTGTACTCAATAGAATGCTGCTTCCCTACTGGCAGTCTGTATCTGGACTTGGTGAATCACACAAAATGTGTGTCGTCTAGAGACATTTAGAAGTGTGGTGTAAAAGCATTGGGCAGAGGCTTACTGCTCCAGAGAGCATAACTTTTTCACTTGTTCTTTGGGTGATCCTGGGCAAGATGTTTAACCATTTTGTGCCTCAGTTTACAATTCTATAAACTGGTTGAGAAACTTCTGAGATTTCAAAATATAATTCTGGATTGGGAGCTATGTTTGAAATAAACAGTTCTGTCTGACATGTAATAATTGCAAAGTATGTTTTGTAAATACTGGTTTTCTGTCCCAGTTTGTGGATTTGTTTATCAGGGTTTGTTTTATTTTTCAGTATGCTTGGCTGATTTTTGAAACAGTGGTAAAAAAATAGAGAGGTAGGATGTGAAGAAGGCAAAGTTCACAATCATAGTTCCAGGTTAATTAATCCTGATTATTTTTTTCCAATCATGTTTTTTATATAGCTATGTACTGGAAGAATTCTATAGATTGCAAGTATTTTTCCAATTATTCTATCAATATTTTTATAAAAACATTATTTCATGATGGAAATTATAATTTCTTGGTGCCTTCCCTTGTGTTTCCTGGGAGCATGGTTATCAGTTGGCTTGATGTGTTGTGCTATTCTTGCTAGACAGAACCATACAAAAAATAATTCAACAGGCTGGATTATCTTGTAGGTTCTTCTCAGAAGCAGCCTGAGGCAAGTTAGCACACAGTCTCTTGCTGCCTCTTTTTTTTTATTTGATTTTTTTCACTAGCCATGCACATGTGCATTCCTCAAGTCTGAGATTAAAAAAAGGAGATTTTGTTTTTCCTACCTCATTTCCCAAAATGGAAAGAAAATTACTAGGAGGAAAAAATAATCTGCCCTTTGTTGTCCAATTTTATTCCGTTCTCTAGAGAAATGCCTTTTTCTTCCAACCCTGACATGTTTAACATAGCAAATATTGATGTTCTCTAAGCGTATGAGGATTACAAAAAATTTTGTCCTTTCCAATAAACAGAACTTCTTTTTGTGCTGAGTGATATTTTTCACTTGTTTGCCCGAACTCTCTCCTAAGTCAACTGTGGCTTTTTGAAACCTTGTGTTCACTGTGGCTATTTCCAAATATCTGCTGTCCTCCCATATTCTGATAGATTATTTTTCCTAGTTAGGTGCTGATGCTTCAAGAGAGAGGAGAGTATTACCAGTGTAGATGTATCTGTTACTGTCACATAACCTCTCTGTATCTCACCCTGTAGCAGCACTTGTCTGCCTGTGTTGTTTGTGTTTCAGTGAACAGATGCTTCACTGCATTTCATGGCGAGTATAAAATTCCTGAGACCCCAGATGCTGTTCTCAAACTGCCTAGGAACAATAAACCTCTTTCCTCAGTGCAGGGTCTTACACTTGCAGTCTAGCCCTCTAGTTTGCTGAGCCATTGTGCAGGCATAAATCTGGGCCATGGCTCTATCTGAAATATGGTATGCTAATTATTTATAACATCACATAGCAACCACTCGACATCCTTAACTAGTGTTTCATGAGCCAATCAGAGTATTTCTTTTATCCTTTGTTAAGCCTTAGCATCAGCTCAGGAGAAAATAATTTTAGCAGATTTAACACCATTTAAATACTACTTCAGATGTATTTTTTAGGAATTTATTTATTGAAAAAGTTTGTAATGATAAGGCACACCTTATTTATGCCTGTTGTTATTTTTCAGGTTTTTAAAAAAGTAAGTGGGCTCCTGCTGCACCTGCTCCCATTATTCTAACTTAGAATTAGACAATGAGATGTTTTTACAGCCCTACTTTATAATTTATTGACCATGGTTTAAATCCTGTACATTAAATGTAAATCTTTGAAATCCAGTACAAAAAGCTAGGAACATAACCTTTGTTCCTGTGTTTGGCTGCCAGACTCTTATATTTGAGAACCTGGCTGAAGAAAACATCAAGTCTTAGTCTGTGCTGTCTTTCATAAAGTTTTTAAAAAATTCTTATTATTTTTTAAATTTTTATTGTCAGCATACGTACTAAAATAATTTTAAGGTGTAGAAAATACATAGGTGTGTTGGACTAGGTTGTTTTCCAAACCAACAATTTTCTGAAAGCTGGCAAATACCTTTGACACTCACCTTCACAGCTGTTCATTCTTAAAATATTTGAAATGTATATGTAGCACTTAAAATAAGTGTCTTACATTAATGGAGTTCACTCTGGGTCGGTGTTCTTTGTGAGCAGCAAACGAGACATAATCTTCTGTCTGGAAGCTCAGCGGATGGCAGAGTAGGCTCTCTTGAGATGCAGAAAATGTACATGTCTGATGATTCAGTGTCCAGACAGTTTCTGGTTTTGAATTATTAAACCACTACATAATCTTAAATAACACCACTGCTGTCATGCAATTTTTTATATGCTAGAGTCTCCAAACTACTGGATTTTTTCCTCTTTTTCCTGTTCAGGAAGGGAGACCATAAAAAGACTTCCAAATGCAGAGAGGTAGGTTACGTACAGACATGGTGTGGGCAGGTTGCTGTAAAGAGAAAAGTCTTGAGAAAGCCTGGAAATCTGTATTCAAAATAGCAATATAGGAAGCCAGAGCAGAGTCATTGCTCCTGTCCACCATACAGGAAAGCCTAATTGGAGTTTGTAAGTACCTGAAAGAGATCTGAAAAAAAGCTGTACCTAGCATTAGCTGTCAGTTCTGAGCTGCAAAGATCTGCAACTGCCATGCACTGCTGGCTTAGTGAACCACAGCGATGTACTGTATGCTGGGAATGATAGATGTGGTGGTCTTGAACACCAGAGAGAAGGTCCACACCATTAACTGCTGTCGTGGTTTTGGCCCAACACGACAACAAA